AGCAGGAATTTTTGCATTGGTATCAGTGGGTTTCCGCTTAGGTCTGCATTATTACTTACCGGCTCAGTAGTTGAGCTGACTAAATATGCTAAATAGGCAGGTGTTTAAAATATTACGAAAACCAAAACGGTCACTTAAATTCTGCTTGTGAATGAACCCTTCTTGTTGCCTTTCCTTTTCATACAAGAACTATCACTCTTTATTAAACCTTGTATTACATACTCACTCCTTGTGTGCAGCTGGTCTCTACAGGTAACAGAAGGCAGAAAACTAGAGTTGTCTGTGCACTGACAAAGTAACAGCATTGTCTTTTTAATTTGTACTTCCCTTGCATCCTTCCAAATGTATTCATTTTGTCTGGACAGTTGCACAGAAGCGGGAAAGGAACTGGTTAAGAACCAGCATGGATGGGTGGGGGTAAACTGATAATGAGAAGAGGACATTAAAAGGGAAGTTATTTCTGGATTAGTAGTATGTATAATTTGGTTTCTCCGTCTGATGGGTCTTTCTATTCCTCAGAAGCGAACATCCACTGGCTCAACTGTATTGCCACTCCATCATGGAACATCATCATTTTGATCAATGTCTTATGATCCTGAATAGTCCAGTGAGTACCCCATTTTCATGTATGCTGAAGAAAACTATTCCCTGTTTTACTTTTTATTTTCAGCTCTTGGATGGATTCCCACCCTTATACATTCCTAAGTGATCTTTATTCCTTTTATGGGTAAAGAAAGCGAATGCAGCAGTTTGGAAATCACAGTTCCATTGCTGAGTGCCACCAAACCTTTCTGAGTGTTGCCTGATAAGGGAAGCCTTGCTAATATCCTTTTGAGTACCTGCTTCCTTGGACCAAAGGAAACAAAGGCTTTGTTGGCATGTTCATGACCTCTTCTGAACCACCAAACAAACCCAAGTCCTTGCTCTCATTTCAAAAAACATTCTAGCCTACACATACACAAAGCAGTCCTGATGAGACCAAACCAAACACTGCTAATGTTGACATTCCAAAGTGAAGCCAAACCTAAGTTAAGTAAATATGCAAATAAAACTACATTCTTCTTGTTTTATATTATTAACTAATTCTAAGACCAGTTACACAGCATGCATAATCACTTCAAAGCAGTATATTTTCACTGCTCATTTCATATCACAGGTATGGTACTTCTGGCATCCTTTGTATTGTAATGATTCTTTCCTATTCAGACAGGAAAATACGGAAAAAAAGTAGAGGCAAGTTGCCATTTCAACAGCTCCATAGTGCTTTGGTTTAACAATGGGCTGCCGAGCTTATATTTCTATGTAATAGCTTGTAATTTATGTCGCTTCATAAAAGGAAAATATTTTCATTTACGTGAGGTGTATAGACAGGTACTGGAATCTGTTACAGTTCCTGTGCTTTGAGGAGTGGGGAGAAGAAGAAAAAGAAATGCTATGATACAGCTAGTGGCAAATTTAATTTTGATGAATGAAGTGGACTTAAAGGCTTTGATGTTGCTCTGCTTGCGGTTTCATTTTCTAATGGTTGATTATGATGCTGTTGCTGTGTGGCTTTCTGCCATTACTCAAGACGACTGGAATTTTTATTTTAAATTGGGGAATCTGCAAAAGGAAGCAGGGTAGAAGAATGACATCAGATATCCACAAGCAACTTGAATGATTTAGTATCGAAGAGATGTTTTAGCAAACTGGCGTGCTGTTGCCCATTTTACTGATAACACTGGTTTTGGTTTTTTCTAAAGGGAAATCAGATTCTCAGCAGCCTTTCCATTGAAGAATACAAGGCCACACTGAAAATGATAAAACAAGCCATTCTTGCCACAGACCTAGCACTATACATAAAGTAAGTCAGAGGCAAGTTTAGCTGGATAGTCATTGCTGCATGTCAGCATGCTGCAAAAATCTTTTGTTTTAACTTCTTTTAAAGGAGGAGAGGAGAATTTTTTGAACTTCTAAGGAAGAAGCAATTTAATTGGGAAGATCCTACACAGAAGGAGCTATTTTTGTAAGTAAAAGCAGAATGATTAAGGCAGCAATTAGTATGATTAGGTACCAATTCTTCCATGCCATGTTGCTGTGAAATTTCATTAAAACCAGCAGATCTGTGTGCTCTGGGCCTGTACAAATTGGCACAAATAGGTCACCGAATGACTCCCTGGGTCTGAATTACTAAGTCCGCAACCTGTATAATAAACTTTCTTAAGTAGCACCTTAAGCATTTCTGTTCTTCCTAAAGAGTGTAGGGTTCCTGACTAGATACCATGTTCTTTTGCTGTTGATACTTCATACTTAAATATTGAATTGCTGAAACCAATAACTAAAGATTCAGGACAGGCAGTTTGTTTTGAAGCCGATGAAGTGAAGAAAGAGAAAGATTAAGAATAGAGACACAGTACAGAAAAGCAGTCTTACATAGGCTGTCTCAGAAAGGAAGGATGCTGTTATTTCAAATTCAGTGCCTTTAAAACCCAGTCTAATTTAGTCATGGTCTATGTCTATTCCTATTTCAGTCCTTGACCCTCATACTGTCAATAAAGATGGCAGTCACTGCTAATGTCAGAAATAAATAAATGTGCTGTCTGTCCAGTAGCAAATGGAATGAAACAGTTCATTTGACATGAATCCACCAAATAAGCCAGTCCAGATTTGCTCACTTCTGTGTGCTTATGTCACACAGGTGAAAGTCTACCACATCATCGAGCCTTGAATACCTTTATAAGTTTGCTTTAATTTCACTTGTTTTTCTGACTTTGATGTTCCTTGAAGTTTTAGATTTTATTTTACTAATCGTTTGACTTGGTGGCTACACACATTTCACAATACAGTAATTCATAGATTTCTTTCTGTTTTTCCTACAGAGCAATGCTGATGACTGCTTGTGATTTATCTGCCATAACCAAACCATGGCCCGTTCAGCAACGGGTATATGCTTAATTTTATGATTTGCTAAATAGAAACTCCACGTAAAAGCTTCTGCTTCCTCCATACAGTCCTTACTGCAAAGGCTGTGGTGGAATGCAGAGCCTTAGGAAACAGTCCTTCAAAGTGCTGTATGTGGATTGAAGACTTTCTTAGGTCTTTGTAGCAAGATCTGTGCATTTAGCTATGTCACCATGTTAGCAGTAATCTGAAGGTAAATTGGGAATTGTTCCTTCCAACATTTCTGTGTTACTACAAGGCAGTCAGTTGACACAACACACTAGTATCAGCTGACCTTTTTCTGTGTGTTGATTATTCCAACTGTTGTCAGTGGTAAGATGCCTATGTGCCATTTTATTCACTTTGCTGTGTCAGAGTAAATATCAGCACATGCAAGTGTTTTGTTTATGCACAGATGTGTGCATGAGGAATTCTAAAAGCTGGCTGTTAAGCTGGAGAGTCTCATTATGGGGGGTCCCAATTTGATATATCCTATGGAGAGAGAGGAAACACAGGAAACAGTTTTGACTGTAAGTAGCAAGCAAACTTTTAGAGCTCTCAATGTGTGAAATCTCTTACAGATTGCTGAGCTTGTAGCTACTGAGTTCTTTGATCAAGGAGATAAAGAGCGGAAGGAACTCAACATAGAACCAACAGTAAGTGGCAGAATCCTGCAGAATCACCTCTTTCAAAATGGCTTCTACAAAGGGCATTTCACATTCCTTTCAAAAGCCACAATTTCTCCCATGGACCAGAATACGGGAACAAGTCCTTCTCTGTATTCCTAGAGTCATTTTTTTTTGCGGTTGCCAAACACCAACAGTGTGTCATTATCTCTGAGACAGAAGAACAGACAGCATTATTTCTTCTAAATCAGTATTACTAAATTGTCTGGGAAATACATTCCTAAATTGATACTTATTTGCAATCTATCCAAAACCAGTAAGCTAGTCTATTCATCTAGCTGTTTGGGCTCTCTCAGTCCAAAGACAATCTCCTAAAGCAAGTGATGCAGTCAGATTACCTGCCTTGTAACACATGTCCTGATACCCTGCTGTGCTGAGCTTGCTGTGCTTTTTAAGGTGCTGCTTTTTAATTCCAGCCTGTCTCTTTGGTTTTGATTGCGTTTTTTATTTAATGCATTTAAACATTAAACAAACATAAACATTATTTACTTCTTATCTGCAGGATCTAATGAACAGAGAGAAGAAAAATAAAATTCCTAGCATGCAGGTTGGATTCATAGATGCTGTTTGTTTGCAGCTGTATGAGGTATGGTGCCTACGAAAGAATTGCAAATATGTAAAACCAGAACTGCTCACTGTAGCCTCTAATAGATGCAGATTTAAAATTAGAATAGAAATAAAATAAAAAAACTAGTCCCCTAGTTAAATTTTTTTTGTTATATATGACATATGGTTTATTATTCAGTTGAAGCAATTATTACTTTTGCATTTATCATTAATGGTATGTTTGTCTGATCAATGTATTTTGTATAATTTTTTAAAACCTAGTGGTAATTGCTGTGCTCTGTGCACTTGGTGTTAGATCCCTGGGTTATATTCTGGATTCCAGCAGCTCTAGTGAGCTGCTATGACTATCGGGGAAAGTCACAAAACTAATGCTTTGCTATCTAGGAAAAAAATGGTATCCGTGTAGCACATGGATAAAAACTGTTGTTTAAGAGTTTTAAAAAGTTCCAAATTTTTTATGCAGAAGGTGATGTGCTATGTATAGGAAATTTACCCAAGTTTGACATTGCCCATTCCATTTTTTTCTTTCTCTTTCATCACACACAAAGGCAGTGCATGAGAGAATTAATTGAAAAGTTTTTCATCCTGGTCACAAACTGTATAAGCAGATACTTGCTCAGATATAGTGTGAAACAAAACACAATGATTTCTGATTTTTTTTTAAACCCGTAAAGCACTAGAGCCTGTTCATCGGGACTGTAGCAAGTATTTTACAGGAACTGAGATAAGAAAAAGGTGAGGAACAGATAGCCTAACTCTTAAAAATCTTCCAGTGGGAGGAACAAGGTGATTACTCAAATTTTTACCTCTTACACAGTAAACTTTTCTAAAAAGAATCCAGATCCACCAGTTGGAAGGAAACAAGGACAGAGGAAGGAGAGCTAGTAGCTCTCGCTGCTGCCCCTGAAACTCACATGTTTCTGTGCTGTAGAAATTGTTTGTCAGTAAAATAAGGCATCCTTTGCTGGGAAGCCTCAGAAAACTGTCTCCAGTAGGAGGTAGGCCACTGAAAGAAGACTGAGTATCAGTGGAAAGGTACAGCAAACAGAAAACTCTCTGAACAGAACACCTGAGCAGGTTTGAATGGCTCCAGAGTCTGAACTTCTATACTTTTTCTTGTTAGGGGAGAGCTTTACCTTTCCATTTATGAAAAGACCAGAAAATCTTCAGTTATTTACTCTGAAATATGCACTGCAGCTTACATGAACAGTTACCAAGTCATACTAGTCCAAACTGTACCCATTTCCTGCAAGGAAATGAGGGGCACGAGTAATTTCTAGCTACTGTGCCCCTGCTTTGTAACTGCAGCTTTGTTATGCCACAGTGAATACAAAGCCATTCCTGGTTAGCAGACAAAAGCACCTACAAATGTTTGGAGTCTTCTCCCTTCTCTTTAATTGGGGAGGAAAGAAGGAGATGCTACGTCCACAGGAGGGGGTTTAAGCACCATCTTTTTGTTCAGGACATGTTGCCTCTTGTAACTTTCAGTGTATCACTCTAACTTGTCATCTTGTCTCAAAGTCTGACCTGAACTGGAACAGTACATAGCAGGCTGACAGTGTTTGGGACTTTATATAGCCTCAGAGTACGTCAGCATGTGGCCTAACCTGACAGATAAGCAAGGGTGACTTACCTGCAGGGGCAGAGAGTGCTGAAGAGGATGGGGAGCGTTACAAAGGGGGAAGTTATAAACCCCATAACAGTACTGGTAAATCCAAGGAAGGGGCTATGGTTTGAGCTGATCCGGTGTTTGTTTATTTTGACTGGAGTACAGGTAGAGGATATTACCTGCTTACACAGATTTTTGTTTTCTTCAATGAGTAATAAATGGTAAAACATATAAACAACTTCAGTGTTACTTTGAAAATGAACAAGCACACAGTTCACTCTCCAAACTTCTAATGCTACAAAAGCAAACAATAAACAGGGTTGTAATGTCAGTCATTTTACTGTTTTCTTAGCTTTCATCCAGTCAGTAGGATTTTGACACACAATGCAAAAAGAGATGAGTTCCCAATACAGTACTGCAAGTATGTGACTTACTGTGTTATTCAGAGTAGGTCAGATCCCAGTGAACTGAAGTTTTGTGGCTTGTGTTAGCTAGGTAACCAGTGCAGTTAAACTGAATGATCTACATGTCTTCCCTTTAAGTTCAGAAATCTGAAAAAGTAAGAGAAATGTGTTTTCATTTTCTTCATTTTTTTAATTGGAAAAAAGTACCATTTAGCAGTTTTAAATGCTGTTTAGATATATTCAGATAAACAAAAGAGGAAAACTCCAGAGATATTTGACATCTCCATTCTTCTTACAGTGGTGTAAATCAAGAATAATTCAATTAAGTCTACTGGAACTAATGAAGCAGCCCATAAAGCCAAAAGGAACTATGAAGATTTATACAAGCTGATAATTCAGTAGGGTCCCTATGTAGAGTTTACAGGAGAATTAGACATTGCTATCTCACATTATTTGAATGAGACCTGAATTCCATGTGGAATTCCACTTGTGCATAATACAACAAACTTAATCATGGTTCCTGCTGCATTTATGTATCAAGTACTGTATGGACACTGCCACTCAATCTAATCTGCACTTGTGCCAGGTACATGTGTTCACGTTTGATGTGCCGCAGGAAGCCTTCCTTGAAGTTCAAAATACAAGTTCAATTTCAATTATAGATAGACCTCATATTTCAGTCATTCTGGTCGCTCTCACGGTCATCTTTAAGGACGCTTATTTTGTTGTTAAATATAATCTGTTTTACATGTGCTTAATTTATTTCAGGCCCTAACGCATGTGTCAGAGGCCTGCTACCCTTTACTGGATGGCTGTAGAAAAAATAGGCAGAAATGGCAATCCTTAGCTGAACAACAAGAGAAGAATCTGATTAATGGAGAAAGCAATCAAGCCAAACGGAACTGAGATGCTGATTTAACAACCACATGCTTAAGTTCACATAGAAGACATAGTAATAGGGGAGTACCGCATTTTCCTAAACACTGTATGAATTTGGCTTATGTTTTGCCACTGCTGTATTATTTTTCCACATTTCAAGATATAGCATGACTGTGTCTCTGCCAAGGTTATATAAAGATAGTATGTTTCTTTTATTACATCTGATTGAGACAGAAAAAGATCTGCAAGGGTAGTTTTTGCTACCCTGTTCCACAAGAAGGTACAAGTGCAGTTACTCAACTGTCCCCGAGAGCCTATTACTTTATAGATGTATATAGTTGTTTAGTGATCATGTTGTGGCCAGTATCTTAAAGACTACTGCATTTCGCACCTTTTGTCCTCTTCCAATCTTGCTGTGTTATGTTATAAAAGTAACGAACAGTCTTGCCTCCATAGTTCTCTTCCCAGAGGTTCAGAGGAAAGATTGGGGCTAACTCTGGGGAGCCTAATCCAGCATATACTATGCTAACCTCTTTCAAGAGACAGAGCTGGGCTTTGAAGTGAAAAAACACCAGAATCTGTGCACACAGTATTTTTTTTTCATATTAGAGGAATGTCTTAGCAAATGTCTTACATTTGGACAAATTTTTAAAACCTCAGTGAATTAGGCAATGGGGGTCTTAGGAGTTTTGTGGTAGAGGTGTCATAATTATCCATGAATAATTGAAACTGCTTGAAGATTGATGAAATGTCAAAACATAACTGACAGGCTGCCATGGAAGAATGGCTCCCATAGAAAGCTGCAAGAAGCACACAGAGAAATGGAAGCTGAACAGGATCATTTTTATATGCTGGTTTTAACTTCATTTGCAAGTTGAATTTAACATCATCATAACCAACAGACTGAATGAATCATGGGCAGGAAGAGTAGAAGAGAATATGACTGCAACAGCAAGAGATAAAAATTTGAGTCAGAATGATGCAGGAATGGCATGCTTCTGTTGACTACCAATGACTGATTCTTTAGACCAGTCCTATTATGAAATGGCTATGACCACTTAGAGAGTTTTATGTTAACATCTTTTTAAAATAATTTTTAGCATTAGTTAATGTTAACAATGATTAATCACAATGTCTTAAAGGAATAGGAACAAAGAATACAGAAAGCAAAAATAGAAAAAAAAAGCAAAAATAGCTGAGAATGCTACAGCGATTTGCCATTTGTATACGAGGCATTAATGTTCAGAAAAGTAAGAAATCAATTAACTTGCACTAGTAAAAAAAAAACAACATTGATATTTTGTTTAAATTAAGATGACTAATAAAAATTGTTTTGAATTGGGAACCAATTCAAGAACATATACACATTAGACAAACCCCAGAAGAGTAATACAAAGAGAATACTATTCTTTGGGTAGACAGGATTAGGAGATTAATGTCAGCAGTCTAAGACTGGTTAGCAGTAGGTGTAACTTCGGCTGCACAGAGACACAGAAAATGTTGGGTTTCTTTAATATGTAGTTATGATTTTTCAGTTAAAATCAGCAATAGTATTAGGCAAAAGTAATACATTTGGGATTGTACTTTGAAGTGTGGGGGTTTATTTTTATCACAGTAATCCAGAATATTCTAGTTGGAAACTGCAATAAATTTTTCTTCCCAGGAGATTATCAATCCCCCCTTGTCAGATCTGAAAGACAAGTGAAAACAACCTCTTTTTATCAGTCTCTGCATTTAGATAAACTATACCAGAATCTAACAAAAGATGAAGCAATTGTTTCAAAATGTTTGACAATACTGAGTTTCATAGTCCATTTTTTTTATTAATGTAGAATAAGATATTCTGATAGTCTGCCAACCTAAATTATTTGTCACTGATAAATCCTATCTCCAACTTCTCTAATGACTACCAAAAATATATTGTTGCAGCTGAATTTGAAAACATTTTTCTATGAAAGTATTTTTCCTGATTTTTTTCCAGATTTTCAAAAAAAGTATGGAATTCAACAATAATTAAGAATTCCAGGGCTACTGTTATGCAGTGCTCCATGTGTATTTATATGCATACACAGTACAATATATGTATGTAGTATGTCATAGCTATGCAGAAAAATGACAGCAGCCTTGTCCCCCCAACACACCCCCCCAAAATAAAGTTTTTAGGTACTTTTTGATAAATATGAAACTTTGCTTCAGGATTTGCATAGTCCTTGTATATTCTTTTCCTTGAATGCTTGAGATACTGAAATATAATTATTACGCTAACTGATGAGATACATATTGAATATAAATATGAATAATGTATATAAAGGTGTATTCTTGCTAATATGGTTGAGACTAGTAAGTCATGGTGACAACACAGCAAATCAACTCTGATGATGTTACAGTGGAGTGACTTACCATTTACATTAAGATCCCAGTATTTCTTTGCTACATTGTGTGTTCAGCAAAGCTTTATTATGACATAAATTTATAACTACTACAGAGGAGTACTGGATTCATACCTTTGCCTTGAAAAAAATGGACATGATGTTGCATTTTTTCAAAAGTTCACTTAAAATGAACACAGTTATACAGTATGTGCATATATTTAATTACGCATCTGTACACATCTATCCCACAGAATCTCTTCCACCACAAAGATTGGAACTTACATAGAAATACAGTTCCTAGTAAATAAACCATTTAAATGTCATAATACAGCTGTATCTGTATATATTTCTACAAAACCAAACCCTTTAAACTACTGGTTTAGGAACCTTAAAAGCATAGATTGCTGTACTTCATGAAATTTCAGAGAGTGATCAAATTATTTATATAGTGTTTTACTCTGCCTGAAAACAAAGTCAGAGTGTGCTGGTTTTGTGCCATAGCTTTGTGTGGACTGTTTGCAGAAGTTGCTCATTCCTTTCATAAGGTAGATAGGTGACAATATGAAAAAAAGCCAGGCTGTTCTCTGCCTGAAATTCATTGCTTTTAGAATTCAACATTTTCAAATGCAGCTAGTGGATTACAGCCATGCAGCTGCCATTAATTTCATTGTGAGTTCTGTACATAATTATTTTAGTTGGGTCTCAAATACGTTCTCCCCAACTTATATTGTCTAGCTAAAGCCATCGGTGTGGATTATACAAGAAACAAGCTGAAATGGAGTTTATCAGCTTGTCAGTTCAGTCTTAAGTCCATTAAACCCATTGTGAAATTTGATATTTAAGCCTTCAGGTACAAAATTTGTCCCACTAATTTTTAGTACTTGTCTCAATGAAGACATCTAAGTTAGTATCCTACTTCTTCTCAGACATGGACGCATTTTCTTTTAAAGTCACTCGACAGCACAGTTTAATGCTTAAAGTACACTTTTCTTTCTGTTATTGTTCCCCTTCTGAAAAAATTACTTGTCATATGTATTAACATACACAAAATTCCTGATTAACCCTACCTCTTCGAATTAAAAATAACAGTGAGACTCTTAAGCTGTTACTTCTTTTCCAACAAGTTAGTCACACATCCAATATTAGCTGTAGAATGTCTAGGGAAAATAATGTAGTGTTGATTTTGGAGACAGTATTGATTTTTAATTAGTAGCAGTTTAAAGTTAAGAGCAGATTAGTCTCATATCTTCACAGATACCAAGTGGGCTAGTGATAAAAGTGAATAATCTATTCTACTGATGACCAGCTTTCTTCTTTAGAAGAAAGGATGAAGCCTGATTTTATACATCACCCTCTGACAACTGCATGCATTTAAAGATAAACTTTTGAACTCCAATCCAATGCATTTTATCTGGCAGCACCACAAACTGACAAAATCGGAACACCGCTAATTCATATATAAGATTTTTCAAAATTACTAGGTAACTGATTTTCCAAGCCATTATACAGAAGGATTATGAAGAGTCAGATCTAGCCCCTTAAAACGGGGGGATGTTGCCCGAGTGATCTGGTTGGTGCCCCTTGCAGTTATGCCTGAGAAGATAGCAGAGAGTTTGGATGGAAAAAATGCCTCACTCATAATAAATTAATAGATTTTTAAAGGTTTGATAGAGACCGAGTATTTCAGGCACATTTATACATTAGCATTAGTTAAGAGTCTTGTCTCTGTGATGCTGTAGTTTCTTCTTCATGTCAAATCACATGCAGTTTACATTCCACAAGGTTTCAGCTTTATTTCACAGCTCCCTGCTGTACTTCTTCAGGGACTTGCACTAATTTGAAAGATAAGCTTGAACAGAGGAGCTTGAATAAAAAAATGAGTTTGGCCAGAGTATGATAAATACTAAGGGCTGGATTTTTTTGTTTGGACTGTCACAGGAACAAGAAATATCACAGAATCTGGCCTGGTAATTAGCTACCCTTGCTAAATACAGCAAATTGTGACAGCAAGGTTTTATTCTTTGTCATTGCTAGATGAATGGAAATTGCATGGGAAAGTTTATTTTCCACATAAAGAAGTTTGTTTCCATAGAGAAACTCATATCTAAGTACCACTGTTTGTAAATGTATATTTATATGACAATGCTATATAATAGCTAGTTTCCACTAACTTTCACAGCACGAGCTTGTCATGCCCAGGGCCTAAGGCATGCTCAAATGCCCATTTGAAGTCAATTATAGGATTCCCATTAACCTCAGTGGGAGTTAGATTGAGCTGTATAGAAGGTGAAAGAATGGGTCAAATCTGCCTTTTTTACCTACAAAGAGGGACCAAACTCTTACCCTTGGTAACACCTGCCTCACCTGCTC